GAAGATGAAGATGAAGATGAAGATGAAGATGAATATGAATATGAAGATGAACATGAACATGAACATGAACATGAACATGAAAATGAACATGAACATGACCATGAACATGAACTTGAACATGAACATGAACATGAAGGTGTAGATAAACATAAACATAAACATTAAAAGCTCAACTCAACTCACATAAACTATCCTTAATTTTAGCGGTTGAATTTCAACCGCTGGGCGAACACTAGTATCATTAAATTATCAGAGCTTATTGAACACCAGTGTTTTGGTGAAATTCGCAACGGTATATCTATGTATGCACATTAGGGTGGTCCTTAAATGTATGAATTACTATATTATATCAGATTTCCTAAACCTCAACCCCTACATCGATGCTAATAAATTTTGGTCCCGATCGGAGACGGTTTAGGGGGCCGCACAGGGGTCAAAGCTCAGATTCCTCTATGGAGACTCAAAAAATTAAAATAAATTTATTCTAGTACCCAAAATCGATACTACTGACGTCGAAGATATGAAATATAAATTTCGGTCCCGATTGGAGTCGGTTAAGGCGTGTCGCACAGGGGTAAAAGTTCAGATTCCTCTATGGAGACTCAAAAAATTTAAGTTAATATTTTTTTTCATCTAATACCCAAAATTGATACCACTAACGTCGAAGATATCACATATAAATTTTGGTCCCGATTGGAGTCGGTGAAGGCGTGTCGTACAGGGGTCAAAGTTCAGATTCCTGTTTTGAGGCTAAAAAAATTCAAATTAAAAAAAATTTTATATTTATTATATGTATATTATGCTCTATGCATAAAAACTAAGCAATTGCTTTTTCTTAAAATTGTACCTTTCTAAATTGCGTTAATTTGGGGTATTGAGTATTGATTTATCAAGCTGTATAAGTTTAAGTAACTTAAAAATTGGACACTAAGGTTCACTTACTCATGGAATATAATATGTCAAATAGTACCTTTGCAAATTTTTTGACACGGCGGTAATATGCCAATGTGCGAAGGCCTGCACTCTGGTTCCAAAGTTACACAAATGAACTCTAGGGCACGCGTCGAACAGTTTGACTCGACCAATTTCTGAAAAGCTTTCTCATCATTAAATTGAAGTGTTATTGTAGAATTATAAGTTAAATCATAGTCCAGTACACCCTGGCACATCGGCAGTGAGGTGGAGTAGCAACCGTTATCCTGAGGAGTTGAGCGGAAACCAGACGATATTGCGTGAGTTGGTTTAAATTGTGCTAACGGAGGTACGGTAGGCGAAACTTTAGCTAGTGACTTTGTTGTTGAAACGAAGCGCTGATCTGGTGAAAAAACCTACAGGTAAAATTTTTAAAAGGTTATTATCATCTTAAAAATTAAACGTATGCATGTACATTAGACTGCATCACTCCCCATACAAAAAAAAAATCGGTACTATTTTTCCATTGGAATTAAAAAACCTATTATATTTTAAGACGTCCACCAAAATATTTCGGAAAAATATTAAGATTTATGTGAGCTGGACCGATTTCAAAATACCTCTAAAAATGGAGTTTTTTATGAATGAAAATAGATTCTTAAAGTTTCTTTTTGAAAAATTCCCCTCAAATGACAAAACGGCTTAAGCTTAAAAAATGTGCATAAAAACATTTAACAAAAATTTAACGGAATCGTAATGATGAGATTTTTGATGCTGTTTTTTAACATTTTTCTAAGATTGGTATAAGAAAAACTTTAATAACTGAACCTAAACTCTTCCGATTTAGACTTGTGAGGTATCATTGGAAAGGTATTTTCTCACCCTTTTCATTTCTTTGCTAACTCATTCAAAGGATGAAAGAGAAAGGTAGGATGAACGAACGTCATTCAAAGTTGAAATAAGATGTGTTGGTATTTGAAAAAAAATGGGTCACGAATGACATATTTTGACAGAAATAAGAACAGAGTGAAAGTACTTTCTACTGAGATCCCATAAGTCTAAATCAGAATAGTTTTGCGCCAGTTATTCAAGTTTTTCGTAAATCAATCTTTGGAAAAAGTAAAAAAACAGCATCAAAAATCTCGTTCTTACGATTCCGTTGAGAAGATTTTTAAATATTTTTATGCAGATTTTTAAAGCTTAATCTGTTTGGTCATCTGAGGGGAGTTTTTTCAAAAAGTTCTTTAAGAAACTATTTTAATTCATAAAAAACTCCATTTTTGGATGTATTTTCAAATCGATCGAGCTCACTTAAATCTTAATATTTTTTCGAAATATTTTGGTGGACGTCATAAAATATAATAAATTTTGTAATCCCGGCGGAAAACCCTCAAATTTTTTTGGTGATGCAGTCTAATGTACATATGTATGTAAATTTAAAACACCAGTTTTTTACATTTAAGTGTCGTTTTCTCAGGTAGGTTTTAAAATTTGTCTGCGCTTCAGACACATTTGTTTAGAACAAAATTTGTGTTTAAAGGGCAGATAAAGCTTAAAACCTACTAGAGAAAACGGCCTTAAGTTTTCATTAATTATTTTTCGCTTAAGATTGCGGCATAATACAAAAAAGTAGTTTCACTTTGATTTTTTTACGTAAACTGTACCTATCGACGTTTGCAAGGCTACCATCTCAAGAAACTATTGCTCTGGAAATGTTAAAAACATTTTGGGAATTTTCACTCATTTTAAGAACTATAACAAACAAGGAAAGTTCACAAGACAATCGTATTATTGGATTAAAAAGCTATGGTTATTGTGCAGTACCTGGTCCCCACCGAAAAATGATGCAAAATTATCGAAACGACACGAATTAGTGCCATTATTAAGAATCCGAAGGCGGAAATATATTTTCTTAAACCGTTCAAAAGTTAATCGTAAAAATCCGTTTAATTTTTAAATGTATTAAATGAACACTTATTGGTATCTGGATGCTCAGTATGGTTTACTTTAGTTGAATTTGTAATGAAAAATCGCAAAACTTAATGATTTAATTAAATATTAAGTCGAGAACAATGTACAAAAAACCAGCGCCTCATTTGTTGTAGCCTAGGTGTAATAAAAACATGGAAGTGCTTAATGTTGTTAATATTACCATTACAAAAGGCTTTAGTTAGTGATGCCAATAACAATAAATGATAAAGATTTTAATTTTAGTAAATATCCGAATAAATTGTTTATAAACAAAATTTTACTAATAGAAACCTCATTACTTTTACGAAATTAAATTCGCGGGTATATCCCTAAGCGCGACCGAAAGCCGCCTACGCAGAAAGAAGATACGCTCTTCTTCTTCGGCAGCACAGAAACGTGAATTCTGAGTAGTAAGGCTTTTGATCCCTAAGTGCGGCCGAAGGCCGCGTACGCAAAAAGAAGTTCTGCCACTCTTCTCCGGCAGCACAAAGGCGAATTCTGCGTATTCAGAGTTATGATCCTTAAGCGCGGCCGAAAGCCGCCTACGCAGAAAGAAGCTCTGCCACTCTTCTCCGGCAACCCAGAAAGGAGAGTTCTGCGTAGTAAGGGTTATAATCCTTAAACGCGGCCGAAGGCCGCCTACGCAGAAGGAAGTTCTGCCGCTTTTCTCCGGCAGCACAGAAAGGAGAATTGTGCGTAGTAAGGGTTACGATCTCTAAGCGCGGCCGCCTACGCAGAAAAAAGTTCTGCCACTCTTCTCCGGCAACACAGAAAGGAGAATTGTGCGTAGTAAGGGTTATGATCCCCAAGCGCGGCCGAAGGCCCACTACCCAGAAAGAAATTCTGTCACTTTCTCCGGCAACGTAGAAAGGAGAATTCTGCATAGTAAGGGTTATGATCCCAGGGCGCGGTAGAAGGCCTCCTCTGCAGAAAGAAGTTATGCCACTCTTCTCTGGCAACACAGCAATGAGAATTCTGTTTAGCAAGGGTTATGATCCCTAAACGCGCCCAAAGGCCGCCTATGCAAAAAGGAGTACTGCCACTCTTCTCCGGCAGCATGATTCAATAATACAAGTTTAGATAATTACTGACAGCCACGGTTTGACACTCCCTTACAAAAGGTTGAATTTACGAAGGACAGAGAAACAGTAAGAATGCAATCCCTTGTTGCGAAAATGGTAGTAGAAAAGTACGCAAAGTAAGCAATTAGCAGTGGAATTCCTTTTGTAAATTCTAATGTATTTGCAATAAATCTGGCATTTTAAACGAAATATTGAAAGAAATATTAATATATCTACGTGAATTACGTAATTTATGTGCTAAATACTGCAAAGGGTCTCAAAATTAAATAAAACTACTATGAGATTTATGTAAACACAAAATTTAAAAACAATTTATGTTTTCATCAGTTAAATGTGCTTCATATGCAATTTAACGCGGATGCGTGCCTGAAAAACTTAAAGTTGGGGGCCGCCCCGCGGCCCCAGGTTTCCCTAAGGGTAGAAATGAAATACAAGATAAGCAGTGCAAGAGTGTATTTACCATTGAGCTCCCAAATAATAATGAATACAAAATATTACTTAAAGCTATCGCTAAGTATCTAAACGGCCCGAATTAATTGATTAGTTGCTGACGCTGCGCTTCCCACGATTTGCATTTTGGTTGCATAAAACCAATTGGTATCGCTTACGTTGCAGGTCAATTACCTGCACTGGCTATGCGCGTGTTTGGCGAAGTGCGGCGTCAGCACATTCGCATTAGTAAGTAGGTTGGCCCCCTTGTTAACTNGTTGACCCCCTTGTTAACTACCCCCCTTTAAACATCTGCGTCCCGCAAATGAGTCGATTTTTGAAGAGGATGTTTGGTGTGGGTCGTTGGCTGATCCTGATCTGTTGTTTGGTTTAGCCTAGGAAAGTTGATTGTAGTCGTAAGTTTTTTCCAGATGATGTAGTACACGGCTGCCAGGATTGTCAAGGCAATAGCGTCGCAAATTAACGAGAAGTGAAAATTATTGCCAAGTAGCTTAAGATGGTGAATATTCTCTATGCTGAGCCCGTGGATGTACTCCAGATTTAAATTCAGCCCATCACCTGCAACGTTTATCAAATCGGTCGGCAAAGCCTGCACTGTGCATACTGATTTGCTGGTGAACGTTTGATTTCCCACCATGACCTTTCATTACTTAATAAAATAACGTATGTTCCATTGAGGACCGCGGAGTTGTTCCTCCCCTTCAATGGTCCTTGAAAGTGTGTGGTAATTATTGTTGCATCGGCGATCATCTCAACAATTATCTTGTTGTCTGGTTCAAAGTGGCATTTAGCCAGGCATCCGTCTTCAGGAAGTGTCGTTAAAGATTTGGGTGAGCAGATTGTTGGATTGCTAATCGAAGGACAATCCTCGTTCAGTCCGAACGTTTCTTCTTCGTTTACCAGCATCTTGTAATTAAGTTCAACGTGTTGTCCCCTTATGACAGCGGCGCGTGTTATTAAAAGTCGGTAGCCATCTGGTTTCACTTTTGGTATTGATAGTACGTATAAACGGAAGCCGATCCATATTCTATAGCTTCGATGGTATTTTGATATGGCAGCGAATCTTCTTCTATTAAAAGTCTTTGTACCTCGTCTCGATCAAGTAAGTTTGTGTTTATGACACTAGGTTTTCCCATTTGGCACGCCTGCACGATCTCTGATGCGTGTTCCTTCAGGATTAGAACTTTGCTGAAGTCCAGAAGCTCCAAATTCTCTTCGCTTATATTTTTGTTTATAGCGTTGATGTGTAACATCATTTCATTTGCGTTCTCAAACGGCTCACGGGTAACGTTGAAGAGCTTTTCATTGACGCGGTACTGGTGGCTATTATCTACTACAACATCGTTCATGCTTCGGAAGATATAATCCCAATCTGCTGCATCTGGAGACCCGGCGATCCTTTTCCATGCACATCCAATACAGTCAATGGAAAGTCTTCTTCGTGACTTACTTATTTGCAGCTCGTCAAGTCGCAGCTTAGTTTGGCTTAGATGGAATTTCAGTACAGTACGTACAGCTTCGCTTCTGATATCGTGCTGTGTTGACTCGATCAATTTATCCAACGCCATATTGAAGTAGTTAAGGTCGACCATATGGACTAAACTGAAGTGTCCGTTCAGAATCCAACCACGCCCATGTTCAATAGTGACCAGCGGGGAGTCGTAATTGTAAATATTGAGGCCACAAACGCCAGATATCAAAAGTAAATTGTCTTACCATCATGATTGAGGAAACAAAGTAAAAATGAGAATTTCTTAAATTAGCATTGGCCTGTTTCGACGCTTATTTCACTCTTTTTTATATTTTTTCCAACTTTTCTATTTCATTCTTTCTAACTTTTATATATTTTTTATCTTCAGGGACGGAGGGAAAAAAAAGCATTTTAATAAGTATAAGTAATTAAATGGTTGCAT